AGTTGGTAAAGGATGGGAGCTTGAAGGGGTTGGAGGTGAAGGGGGAAGCGAAGGAGATTGGGAGCTGCCCTGCATGCCTTGAAACGAAGTTCACGAAGTTTCCCTTCAGCAGCAGCACGGGACCAGCCAAGGCACCGCTCGCGCTTGTGCACATGGATGTGGTGGGCCCCACGAGGGCCCTTTCTCTCTCGGGCAGCCGCTACTTCTTGACCATTGTGGATGACCACACGCGTGCGGTGTGGGTCTACCCTCTCAAGACTAAGGGGGAGATGGCAGCGGCTGTTCTCAAGGAGTGGATGCCGAGAGCTCAAAGGGAGAGCGGACATAAGGTGAAGGTGATCCGCACTGACAACGGGGGAGAATTCATTGGCGCTGATTTTGAGGCGGTGCTGAAGAAGAAGGGGATCCAGCATCAGCTCACGGTGCCCTACAGCCCTCAGCAGAACGGTGTGGCTGAGCGGTTCAACCGGACCCTGCAGGAAGGTGCTCGCACTCTCCTTGGGCGTGCAGGGCTGCCGGATCCGTTTTGGGTGACTGCACTGCGGCAGGTCGCCCTTGTGAAGAACAGGGTGCTGGCGACTGTGGGGGACAAGCAGTGGGTCCCCTACACCAAGTGGTATGGGAGTGCACCAGCTGTGAACATGCTGAGAGCCTTTGGGTGCATGGTGGTGTTTCATGTGCCTAAGGAGAAGAGGGGAAAACTGGAAGCTTCTGGGAGATGGGGTGTGCACTTGGGGCTTGCTAAGGATCACAAGGGCTGGCTGATTTGGGACTTGACCAGCCAGCAGCTGACTGTGTCAAGGGATGTGAAGTTCCTTGAGTCCTTGTACTACAAGGAGTGGAAGCAGCAGCAGCAGAAGCTTCCTACGACACCGCTAATAGTCGAGGCCGATGAGGTGCAGCGGCCTTCGAGGCAAGTGGAGGTTTCTGTCTCTGAGAATGAGATCTCTGGGGTGACTGAGGATGGGGGAGAACCTGAGGTGGAGGAGCAGCAGCAGCAGCAACAGCAGCAGCAGCCGCAGCAGCAGGAGGAGCAAGGTGCTCCACAAGGTGCCGGACGTACGGCTGACCGTCCTAGGAGGGATGTGCGCCCTCCTAACAGGCTGACCTATGCAAGCCGTGGCAAGCCAAAGGTGGTAAGGGCTGGGAGTGTGGCTGAGCAGTGTGATGAGGATGAGATAGCACACTGCTACTGGGCAGCCGTCCCTGAGCCCAAGACGCTAGCTGAGGCATTGAGCGGGCCCGATGCTGAAAAGTGGAAGCAGAGTGTGAAGGAGGAGTATGATTCTCTGCTGGAGAATGAGACGTGGGAGCTGTGTGAGCTGCCACCCGGGAAGAAGGCCATTTCTTCCAAGCTGATTTTCAGGCACAAGTACGGACCTGATGGGGCGCTGACCCGCTACAAGTCAAGGCTTGTGGCTAAGGGGTTTCAGCAGACAAAGGGAAAGGACTTCAACGAGCTCTATGCTCCTGTGGGGAAAGGCACAACACTTCGGGTGTCATTGGCAATGGCAGCAAACTGTGGATGGCGGGTGAAGCAGATGGACATCACCACCGCCTTCCTCAATGGGATCATTCTGGAGGAGCTGTACATGTTACAGCCTGAGGGTTTGGATGATGGGAGCGGCAGGGTGTGCAAGCTAAAGAAGGCCATCTATGGCCTGAAGCAGGCTCCTCGTGCATGGTACCACAAGTTAGAGGAGACACTGCTGGCTGGGGGTTTCAAGAAGAGTGATTGTGATCACAGCTTGTTCCTGCTGCAGGAGAAGGAGCAGTTTCTCATGCTCCTGGTGTATGTGGACGACATCCTGCTCTTCTCTGAGTCATCTGCAATAATTGAGCATGTGGAGGAGATGCTGGAGATGCAGTTTAAGTGCTCCAAGATGGGAGATGTGAAGTACTATTTAGGGATGCATGTGGAGAGGGACCTTGACAAGGGAGTGTTGAGGTTGCACCAGAGAAAGTATTGTCAGGGGCTGGCTGAGAAGTATGGGCTGCAAGATGGAGGAAAGCCAGCCACCCCACTGCCTTCGGGGTTCACTGTGGAGCCCTGTGCTGATGAGGAGGTGGTGGGTGAGAGTGACAGGAAACTTTTTCATTCCATGGTTGGGGCACTCAACTATGCGGCTAACCACACACGGCCTGACATTGCCTTTGCAACATCCAGGCTTGCCAGTGTGGTTTCACGCCCCAGTCATGAGCAGCTGGAAGCGGCCAAGAGGTTGGTCCGCTATGTGAGTGCAACGGCATCAGTGGGTTTGGAGTACAGTGCTGTGAGGCAGAGGCTGCAGAGGGGTGCAGCTGATTTGAGCAAGGGGGAGATGCTCCTGACCTGCTACACTGACGCTAGCTTCAACTCGGTGAAAGCGGATGGCACCAGCATTGGAGGCTATGTGTGCCTGTTCGGAGGTGGTGCAGTGAGCTGGCGCAGTAAGAAGCAGAATGAGTGGGGCAGTCCTCGTGTGAGACAGAGTACATGGCCCTGCATCATGGGGCAAAGGAGGTGGTGTGGCTGAGGCGTTTGTTGGAGGAGATTGGAGTTGGTCAGAGGGAGCCGACTGTGATTTTCTGTGACAATGAGTCGGCGGTGAAGCTAGCGAAGAATGCTTGTCTTCATGGGCTGACCAAACACATCAGGCCTAAGTGGCACTGGGTGAGAAGGCTCCTGGACAAGGAGGTGCGGCTGGAGATTGTGAAGACCCATCAGCAGGCGGCTGACATTCTCACCAAGCGCCTGGCTGAATCTGAGCATTGGAAGGGCATGAAGCTTGCTGGGATGAGTGTGCATTGAGGGTGCATGCTTGAACTATGGCATGTGGGATGATGGTTGGCAGCCAGAGGGGGAGTTTGTTGAGTGATGCTACCATTCGCATTCACGTCTGTCTGCCTCCCATCATATGTTCGTGCGTTGCATGCGTGTTGTGAGTGTGTGCAAGAATTTGTGTTTTGTGCGGTTTGGTTTTTCTGAGTGTGTGTGAATGTTATTTGGCTTGAGCAGATATCTGAAGTGACTCCTCTGCTCAAGAGCTTTCCGACGAACCAAGTATCGCTTCAATCGGAGCACGAACAAGAAAGTTACGAACGTTGGAGTTCGTATGCTTTTGATATTTGGTTGTGGTGACTATGGGAAGTTGTGGGGTTGACTCAATATGGGGTACAGACTTTTGGGGGTTGGGAAATTCGTCTTTTCTACTGTAGTTGCTGCCAAATGGTTGGGAGAAACCAAACCAGGTTGGCAAGTGTGGCCAAGTTGGGTTGAGGTGGATTGTGGAGGTTGGGATAGTGACAAAGGTCAAAGTTGGGTTGCCTATGGGGAAGGGAATTGTATGGCATGGGGTTTCCTTGGTTGGGGACTCTCTTGGGACCTTCCCTCTCGTCCTCCTCATCCCTTCCACCTGGTTTAGTGCTACTCTAATTCTCTTGTGTGAACTTGTGTGAACTTTGTGATTGAGTTAAGTTCTTATGGCAGCATACCCCCCTGTGCGCCGAAATTGATAAGTCGAGATTTACTTCGCCTCTTGATACGTTTCAACTTGGGAATTGTAGCCACGGAGTAGGGCTACAACATATCTGAGTTTGGTGATGTTTTGACAGTGCACTTTTTGTCGACGGCGTTTCTTGTGAGCGCAACTATTCTGTCCAGAAATAGGGACCAACGATTTTGAGAAATTTAGGCACCTAATCTTCATAGACTCCGTCCTTAGTCTCTAACAGGAAGTGATCACGTGCAGCTTCGCCCATGACCAACAGCGCAGCCTTGGCAGCCAGACGCGTCAGGCATTCGCCGATCGCGATTGGTCGGGCACCTCCTCCAGGCTTGGCCAGGGCAATGAGTCGGGATGCTGTCAGCAGGTCCGCCACCGAGGCTGGGAGGTTTCCCCCTAGAATTGTGTTTACCAGGGCGTGCAGATGGGTGTAGACGGATGCATTGGTTACTGCCGCGTCGCGAAGATGCTCAAATGTTGTTCCTGTTGGTCCGGCCCCCACGCCATTATCGCATCGCCCAAGGAGCTTCGCAAATTCCGCGTGGGAAATGCCTAGGGGTCGAGTGTCGGTCGCTTGCCAAATCAGCGACTCTGCCCCAGCTGGCGGGTGTTTCTGGCGAAGTTCAGCCAGAATTTCTGGACTTGGCGTGCAGACGGGTGTTGAATCGAGCGCCAGCACGGCTCGGCGCAGACTGCCACGTTTTGCCAACCCCTCCGCTCGACTCAATACACCTGTCATGTCGGGTTGGTGACGTGGGGGCGGAGGGGAGTTGACCGCGTTTACTGCATCCTGGTAGAGCTGCGTCCACTCGCCACGCTGGAAAGCCCGTAGCCGGGCCTTGATTTGTGGCCAGTTTGGGTGCTTTGGCGATGCTTGGCGAAGGGTTAGACGTGGGAGGAAGAGGAGCAGTCGCCAGCCAGCCTCGGAATCAGGGTTTCGCGAGAGGTGGTGTAGGGGTGTCAGTAGTGCCAGCGAAAATAGTTGGCACAAATTTGGCGGTAATCGCCTTGACAGGGGCGGTTTTCGACTGTCGCAGAGGGCGGAAATATCCCAGTTCGCGATGTCAGCGAACATGTCGCTCTTCTCTGCCAACTCCTCTGGCGAGAAATAGCGGGGCAGCTGCGGGGTCGCGACTGACGAGTGGTGGAGTATTGCGGTCCGATTTCTTCGAGCGCGGCTCGATCTCGCTGATTGCTGTCGAGATGGGTTCACGTCCGTTCGATCAGCTGCCGACGGCCCTGATTGCCCATGCGTTCCTGCCGTGGGTAAATTGGCCGCACCTGGTCCTCTCCTCCCAGGTCCTTCCCTTGTTATCTCAGCACCAACTCCCTCTTCGTTTTCACTCTCTGGCTCCACTTCCACGCTATAAGAGGGGTCATTTCTCTCCTCGACTTCATTAGCTGCCACCAAAGCTATTAAAGCCCTACGCCCTGCCGCCTGATACCCATTCTCCGGTCCTCCGCCTGCTCCGCTAACCACCTGGCTCCTCCCTTCTCGAGCCCCTCGTCCACGCGATGGTGATTGCGGGTGCGCCTGAGCCGACGCCAGAGCTCGCTGCCTCCTGGTCGGCAATGGTCTCCAGGCCTCCGTCTGAGCCCGAAAGGGCGACCACGGCGACGAAGCCCCCTCTGCCTCCGGCTCCGAAGCCCTCGACAGCATCCTCTGAAAAGATTCCCCCCCCCGGACCCGCGGCTCTCCTTGTCGCGGATGCGCCTGGTCCAACGGCGACTGTTGACGCTCCGACTCCTGCACCTGCCGCTGCTGTTCCCTCTGCCCAGCCAGTGCCGGCTGAGCCCCAGGCGTCCCCTACTACACCCCCGGTGTCTGTCGCCGACCCCTCGGCTCCCTTGCCTGCGGGACTTGTTGCCGCACCTGAGTTGCCGACTCCTGCCTCTGTCTTGTCCCCGCAAGCGGCGTCCGCCACCACTGGCGGCCCGGCCCCGTTGGTTGCGCTACCGGGTGGTGGTCCGGCTGCACCTGCTGTGCCACCGACTGCTCCTGTGGCGCAGCTGTCTCGCCCGCCGTCTCCTGGCCGCCGCCCATCTCGCCCTCATTCTCCCGCTCCCCAGCAGGATCGTCAGACATCTCGGCGTCAGCGCAATTCTCCACGTCGCCCGCATCAGCAAGCTCAGTGGCATGCGAACCACGGCGGCCGCGGTGGCTGGTGGGGTCCCCGCGGTCGCGGAGGTGGTGGGGCGTACGATCCGCCTGTGAGGATGGCGGATCTGCAGCGGGCGGTGTCAACTGCGGTGAGAGAGGAGAGGGCCGCCCTGACCCAAGGCAGCTCTCACGCCGTTGTTGCACGTGCTGCTCCCCAAAAGGCTGTTGTTCCGGTGGATCAGCCGCCTGCCGCACCCGTCCCGCATCAGAATACTGCCCCGTCGGCTCCCGCTGCTTCTGCCTCTGCTCCTGTTCCGCCTGTGGCGGGAGTTGAATATGTGGCGGCGGGGGGGGGATCGCAGTACCCCCATCACGGGGTTGGCGGTTCCGCAACTCCCGCCCTCGAGGAGCCGTTTCAGTTTCTGGCGCAGGCATTACAGCCTCCGCAGTCCCGCGTTCCAGAGTCGACTCTCGCCCAGCTCTTCCGCCTCGCGGAAAGCTTTCACGCTCTGCTCCTAATCCAGGTTCTCGCGCATTCGTCACTTCCTGCAGTTCCCTCCGAGACGTTCCAGGATCGCCATCGCGAGTCGTGCCTTGATGCAGCCGACCAGCTCGCCGTGCTGCTGGCGCCCGTGCTGGCTGCGCCCGTAGAGGGTGGAGTTGCGGCTGCTGGGCAGCTCGATGAGGCTGTACGCTGCCTGAGGCGCCATTTGCGTGCTGGTTCTGGAGCCGCCGCGATCGGCGCAAGCACGCTTGTGGTCCGGGAGCTGTGGCGCTCCCTGACGGGCGTTCTTAACGCCCTCGGAGCTCACCGCATGTAGACGCGGGCTCCGGCTCTGCCATTAGAGGTTTGCGCGGCTAGGACGCGGTAGGACTTGACATGTGTGTATTGCCGTTATGAGCAACTCTGTGTGTTGTGCGCTTGTCGTTCCCTCACGCGCGGCCGAAGGCCGCGCTTTCGAGCGTCGGCCGCCGAAGGCGGCCGGCGCGAGCCGCTCGGTTAGGAGAAACAAAATGAAGAGAACCGAACAATGAGGAGAGCTAGCTGCAGAAGGGCACCAGTGAATAATGAGAGCAAAGTGAAGAAGGAACTGAAGCTCTCTCTCTCTCTCTCTCTCTCTCTCTCTCTCTCTCTCTCTCTCTCTCTCTCTCTCTCTCTCTCTCTCTCGCTCTCTCAAACGAGCCGTTGGGTTGGGAGGAAACCAACTCACCAGGAACTAATGAGATGGGAGAGGGCACTTGGGCTTTTTGTAGGATGCTGTACTCCTTAGAAGGCACATACCAGGATATGCTGAGCCCGGGAGCAAGGAATCAAGACTATACTAGGGTACACAAGGCTGTAATAGGCTATGAGGGGCTAGAGAGGTGTGGGAGGCTGAGGACTAAGTTCCTAGTGCCTCTCTCTCTCTCTCTCTCTCTCTCTCTCTCTCTCTCTCTCTCTCTCTCAAGTAGTCATGTATTGATAGTGGTCATGTGGCACAGACATGGCAGGAGGTGGTTGTAGCTAGTTTGTCTAAGCACGTAGGCAGCCAGGTACCAAGAGCTAACAAACAGAACGTGCAAGCGAACAAGCAAGCAAACAAGCCCGCAAAGCAAGCACTGCAAGCCGAGAGGGCATGCCGTGTGTGTACAACCTAGTCCCCTAGCACAGTAACAAGCCGGCCAGCAGCAACACCAGACCCTGACCCTGAATACCCCCCTCTCCTCCTGTCCTGTGGCTCCCCCTACCATACCATAGTCCCCCTGCCCCCTGCAGCTTCCTCTCATCGTCCTTCCGCCGCCCTCTTTTCGCTCCTGCCCCTCTAAGCCGCTTTGGCAGGGGCCTCCCGCTCCTCATACTCATCCTCAGCCATCTGCCAGAGGTCCCCTAGCCATGGGGCCCAGGGGTCTCCCGCAGCCTGTGGGAATGCCGCTTCAGCTGCTCGGTTGGACTTAGAGAGGAGTGAGATGGCTTGGCTGCGCTGCAGCATCACCGACCACCTCTGTCGGTAGTGTGCATTGAGCCGAGCGGCAGTTGTTGTGAGGCGCCCCTATCTGAACTTCGTCCTCGCTGCGTGGTTAGCTAGCATGCGAAGGAACTGGACTGTTTCCGCCGCCATGGCCCCGTAGGTCTCGACCGCCAGTCCAAAGAATCCGGCATAGGTGGGGTAACGAAGCCAGTAGTTCAGTCGCTGCTGCAGTTGATGCTAAGAAGGCCGCCGGTGCTTCTGATATGGGGTCTATGATCCCTAGTCCCCCTAGGCTGACAGGTAGTGTAGCCTGCCGCCACAGCAGGCTCTGGTGCAGTCCGTGGCTCGGCCACCTGATTGCTGCTACTGAGAGGGCCGTGCGCAGGAGCCCCTCGCTCCATTCCCGCCATGTCGCTAGGCTGACTGAACTCGCTGGAGTCGTGCGGAGGAGGTAGGACGCACGCCTCGATATGCAGCGACTTATCAGCAGCAGGGAGTGCTGGGGGTTGAGCTGGGACAGGAGTGGTAGTGGTTCCACGGCCTCTTCGAGCTGTCGCCGTAGGAAGTCCGCAAAGAACTCCGTGTTTCCCACTGGGCTCCCCAGTACCTTCACACCTGTGCGAACCTGCGGCAGATCCGGCGGGAAAAGGGTGTCTGACCGTGGGTCCGCGTTCCAACAGCACGACTTCCCCACATTACAACGCAGCCCACACCGCTCCAGGTCTGCCACGAGGAAGTTGAAGGCCCGGGCTGATGCTTCCGGGGGGCCGATCAGCGTGATGTCGTCGGCGTAGGCGAGCAGCGTTACTTCGGAGTGTGAGGACGTCGTGCGTGCCACGGACGGCTGAATTGCTGCCGCGAACAACAACGGCCCCAGCGGGTCTCCTTGATGGACGCCGCGGCTGCTCGTTAGGGAATGACCTCCCAGGCTAGCATCCAAAAGCAGCGCTGAAGGCGTCCCGTACATCGTAAGTACGAACGGGAGCAGCTCGAGCATGCTGGACCAACGCAGCGCGTCATAGAAGCTCGCGCGATCCACCATGCTGAATGCATTTTCAATATCGAGCTGCAGGATCGTTGATGCGGGCTGCAGCTGTCGTAGAGCGCGGACGGAGTGGATGATGAACTCCGCTCCCCCCTGAACTGCTACTCCGAATTGCACAGGGATGAAGAGCTCGCGGATCTGGGCGCCTAGTGCTCGTAAGGCCGCTTTGCCCGCTATGCGTAGGACTGTTTCGCCTATCGCGATCGGTCGAACCCCACCGTCAGGTTTGGATAGGGCTATGAGTCGCGAAGGTAGCAGCACCTCCCGTACTCCCGCTGCTACTGTCGAGCTAAGGAGGTGATTGACGACCTTGAGCAGAAGGCCCTATACTTCCTCACTAGCTAGCGCAGGTTCACGTAGGTGTTCGAAACACATCCCTGAAGGTCCCGCTCCAACCCCATTAGGGCATCGAATCAGCACTTCGCGAAGTGTGTCGGTTGAGATCGCCAGGTTGGACGAGGTCACGCTCGTTACCCATTCGGGTAACGCCTCCGTCGCCTGGGGGTGTTTTTTCTGTAGAGCCTCGAGTGTGGCGACTGTCGCTGGTGCGAGGGGTGTCGCTCGTAACGCCGCAACCGCTTTGCTCAGGTTCGCCTTGCGAACCAAGTTCTCCGCTCGGGCACATAGCCCGGTTGGATCCGGTTCGTGCCGCTGTGGTGTCTCTACATCGTCCAGCAACTTTGCATCGGTAAACAGTTGCTCCCACTCGCCAGTCTGGAACTTAGCCAAACGCCCTGCAATTTCGATCCACCGATTCCCCTCCTGGCTCGTCGGTGCCGGGCGGAGTGTCAGGCGGGGTAGTAGGGTTAACATTCTCCAACCCCCCGAGCACTCCGAGTGTTTCGCCAGCCTAGTCAAAGGCGTAAGCAGGCAAAGCGTGAAGGCTTGTAGAAGCTTTGCTGGGAGCCGGCGCGTGAGGAAGGGTTGGCTTGAGAAATGTAGCTCTGTCAATTCCCAGGCTGCGACTGGGCTCCACAGTGCTTCGTCCCCTGCCAAATCCGACGGCTGGCGTGGCATCGCCGTCGCCGAGCCGGGGTTTGCCGTGGCCGTGGCTGCTCCATCCGTGCCCTGACCTGCTTCTTCCGCCGTGCCTGCATTTGCCGTGGCCGTAGCTGCTTGGTTTCCCGCACCTCTTGTTCCTCTCCTTATCCCTCCTCTCCGCACCTGGTGGTTGCCACCACCTTCATCGCCTGATCCCGCTGGGCTGGTATCATTCGAGGGCGCGCCTGAGGGGGTATGGCGGGAGTTCCAGGCGCGGCGGTGGCCGGGGGAGCCCGCGTGGGAGACGGAGGCGCGTTCGTTTGTGGATCCCGGCGGGCGGGTGGCGGCGCGGATGCGGGCGTTCGCCGATTCCCTTGGGCACGTGGCGACCGTGCTGGAGCAACTGCATCGGGCGATGGAAGCGCGGGAGGCGCCACAGCGGGATCCCATGCTGCCCTGCCGTCAGCAGGTTCGGGTGCTCCGAGCGTCATCTGCAGTGTTGTGGGATCTGTTGCACCTTCCGATGGTCCCTCTGCTCGGCGGGGCAGACGACGTCCCCGGAGCGGCGACACTTAGCTCGTTAGCACGAGAATCGGAGCAGGAGAGCGCCCTTGGGCTGCCCTCTGCGACCGCGTCATTGCTCCGCTGGATGGGGGCCCGTTTGCCGCTGATGCTGTCTGATTGACTGGCAGTGCCGGAGTGGTCATCGGCGTGTTCGCCATTGTGCTGGCCGTGGGGTTGACACACGGCAGCTGTTGATGTCGTTGTAGTACCTACTGCATGTTGTATTTTGTTTTTTATATGCTTGTTTCTGCTTCTTCCTTGTCACCCCTCACGCACGGCCGAAGGCCGCGCTGTCGAGCGTCGGCCGCCGAAGGCGGCCGGCGCAAGCCGCTGGTTTTTGAGAAGGAATGAACTCAAACCAGAACAATGAGGAGAAAGGAGCACTGCATAGGCTTAAATACTAGGAGGAATGGACTAGATAGGCCTGAGAGGCTAAGGGAGGCTAAGAGAGGCTAAGAGAGGCTAAGGACTAGCTCCTAGTGCCTCTCTCTCTCTCTCTCTCTCTCTCTCTCTCTCTCTCTCTCTCTCTCTCTCTCTCTCTCTCTCTCGATCTCTCTCCATAGCCACTGGTTTTTTAGAAGGAATGAACTCAAACCAGAACAATGAGGAGAAAGGAGCACTGCATAGGCTTAAATACTAGGAGGAATGGACTAGATAGGCCTGAGAGACTAAGGGAGGCTAAGAGAGGCTAAGAGAGGCTAAGGACTAGCTCCTAGTGCCTCTCTCTCTCTCTCTCTCTCTCTCTCTCTCTCTCTCTCTCTCTCTCTCTCTCTCTCTCTCTCTCGATCTCTCTCCATAGCCACTGGTTTTTTAGAAGGAATGAACTCAAACCAGAACAATGAGGAGAAAGGAGCACTGCATAGGCTTAAATACTAGGAGGAATGGACTAGATAGGCCTGAGAGACTAAGGGAGGCTAAGAGAGGCTAAGAGAGGCTAAGGACTAGCTCCTAGTGCCTCTCTCTCTCTCTCTCTCTCTCTCTCTCTCTCTCTCTCTCTCTCTCTCTCTCTCTCTCTCTCTCTAATGGTCCGTGTATTGATGGAGTAGGAAAATACAAGCATGCAAGGTATAAGTTCAGGATCTAGGTAACACACAAGCACAAAAAGCTAACAACCTCCTATCTACAGCTCCATAAGGGGCTCCATAACCGCACAACAGTCTCCCAAGTGCATCTCAGACTGTATCTCTCTCTCTCTCTCTCTCTCTCTCTCTCTCTCTCTCTCTCTCTCTCTCTCTCTCTCTCTCTCTCTCTCTCTCTCTCTCTCTCTCTCTGCTAGAGGTCC